TGTGTGTGCGTGTGTGTGTGTGTGTGTGTGTGTGTGTGTGTGTGGGCGCACATATGTGGCGAGGGTTGAATAAAAGTGGAGCGTGAGGTTTGTTTGGTTCTTAATCTGCCTCTTAAAGACATCTGTCAGTGCTGATCACTATTGTTTGTCATGCTCGAGACACGCTCGGCACAAATTAAATCCTGCCATTTCTATCATGTCACATTTGGCAGATCAACAGTGACACAAATTGTATCATTGCATCCCGCGCGGGGATTGTGTTTGCAGGTGCGACTCCTGGCAATAAGAGACCTTTGCAGAAACGTCTTGCTTTAGCGCTTGGCCTGTGTTCATCAGCGACACAAGCGACGAGCTGAAGTCATTTATCTAATCGTCGAGGAAAGGAGGATGTTTTCCGTCTTTCCGCTCCGAGCGATGTGTTTAATCTGACTGGAGAATTCACCGCGGTGCCGTACGGATCTGCGTGTTTAGCGTGAGGGATTTTCTGCGGCTGTTTTTACGCATCCTTCTGTTAAAGGGGTCATATGATGCTATTTTAAAGATCATTATTTTGTGTATTTGGTGTAAAAGACTATGTTGACATGCTTTAATGTTCAAAAAACACATTATTTTTCAAATACTGTACATTATTGTAGGTCCGCGTTGCGTTGCATTGCGCCGCGTAAACATAAAACCCTGTCTGTATTTGTGATCAGAGAAATGACAAACAACAAGTGCTAACGTTAATCCACACTGCCCAAAACTCGCGTTTGAATCATCAGTGGCAAATCCTTTAAATGAAAACGTACTTACGTGAGTCAGAACTGCCGGCATTTTAGTCTAACGTTACTCTCCCAGGATCAGTAAACAGTCCTCCATAAAATGTGCTGGCGATCCACAGCACTAAGTTGATGTGTTTCCTCAGCGACCAGCACAGATCAGCTCTAGGCATGACGAAGCGGATATCGTCCTCTTTTGGAAGACCAAACAAAGTAGTTTCGCTTTCACAATGAAAAACACAGCGGCCTAGCGTGAGGGGAAGCCCCGGCTTAGCGTGCGCTGAGGCCGGGATAGAGTGAGCTGAGGCGGCGGGGTCGAGAATGGCGGTCCCGGCGAAGGAGCGGTGAAAGCCGATCCGGCGATCCACAGCGTGCAGTTGATGTATTTCCTCAGCGACCAGCACGGATCAGCTCTAGGCATGACGAAGCGGATATTGTCCTCTTTTGGAAGGCCAAACAAAGTAGTTTCGCTTTCACAACAAAGCACACAGCGCCTTCACGACATGGCGGTGGCGGCAACAACAATACTACAGCGAGAATATAAGTTACGCCTTCTTTCTTTGCGTGAATATTTGGGCGGCGTTATGCAAATCTTCCCACATTGTGACGTAGACATGTGGGGGCGTGTTAGAACGAAGCGTTTTAGGTAGGTGTGGTTGACTCTTAACTTTTATAAAGAATATCTCTTTGGATTTGAGACTTTAGTCTTTGCAACTTTACAGATCTTCTTTATGCACCAAGAGCTTGTAACAAGAGAAAGGAAAACTTGAAATCGCATCACATGACCCCTTTAAATCGGTCCTATTCCGATTCATCTGCACCCCTCACCCTGCTGATCTCTTGTCATGTTGGTGTTTGCGTCACACAAGCAGCAGAAGCAGCAGCACTTGACCACTGTAACTACACACAGTCTCCAACTTCAGTCTTTCACTCATAAAACTGAACACACACAGAAGACACTTGCCTTTGCTGCAGACATATTGTGAAAGATGCATGTGCAAGGCTGGATTCACAACCACTTACCCTCATCACTAGTGCCATGACTTCAACACTGGGGGGTAGAACCATTTTTTTTCTATAATTAAAAGATTTAAAGGGAATAAATAAGGGGTTACACTTTGTTTTGATTGTCCCATTTAGACAATCTGTTGACCCTCAACTATATGTCAACTAACTCTCATTAGAGTATTAGTACATTATTAGGTTAGGGTTAGTTAGTGGAATAAGCTGACATATAAGTTGCATATAGTCAGTTGAATGTCTGTTGAGGACCACTAAAATAAAGTGCTATCAGATATGAAGCAGACAGTCACTAATGCTTTAATAACTGCTAGTCTAAAGTGGACTATTGAAATAAAGTGTTAGCAAAAAAAGGAAAAATAAGTAGAATTTATTGTAATCAGTTTGATCTATTTGCATTTTTTTAAAAGTACACACACATTTACTCTTAATCATATGCCTAATATGATCGCTGTACATTGTGTCTGGTCTTGTCACATTCATGAATGAAGCCTGAAAATCAATGTCTGCGGTTTTTATTAAAATCAGCATAATTTCAGTTGTCTGCCTAACATTTCTATTGTTAAAGTTATAAGCAAATATTAAATGCTTAGCTACTCATATTGTACCTCACACTCTGTAACTGAAGTGTTGTGATAGAATCTCCCCCCCCCTAAAATAAAGCCCCGCCTTCTTTGATTTGATTGGCTATGTTAGTTTTTGTGACACGGATGAGGCAGACAAGTCTAAAATATAATATTTCAACTTTTGATCATAACAACAAACAGAGTGGTGCGTAATGAAGCACAGCAGAAGCAAACTAATAATTGGCAGAGAGCTATTCGTTGTTGCTACTTGTCGACTAGTTGCTGTTGTTTAGCTGTGAGTCTGATTCTGTGTTGTTTCCCGTGATCCTGACGGAGCGTGTTCTCTTGTGTTCTCTTGCAGCACCCGTATCCTTCAGAAGAACAGAAGAAGCAGCTCGCTCAAGACACAGGCCTCACCATCTTACAAGTAAACAACTGGTGAGTCGAGTCACTTTTCATCTCTTTTGCCAGCAGCGTTGACCGTCGGAAAGCGTTTACGCACTGACTCTCCTCGCGCATTATCGCCACGGCTCTTTGCCGTTCGACACATTTGTGTCCCTTTGAAGCATTAAGAGGAAGAGGACAGTGATGCACCTCCTCCCCGATCTGCTCCGTGCCGGATTAGAGCCGCGGCGCTCTGGCCGGCAGCGTCTTTGTAGATGGCTTAGCTCATAACTGGAGGTGGTGGATTAAATATAATGATCACAGAGCCAAAGAAATGATACAGGCATCATTTATCAAAATACTCGGCCGGGCTCTTTTTTTATCGCGGTCTTAATTTCCTTCGCTACATTCTGCGGCCGATGTTCAGATTAATTGAGCTGACAGCTTCTTTTCAAAACACCGGGAAGGTATTTGCACGGATTTTCTGGCCTTACACAAACTTAATTATACGGAGCACTATTTTATCAGTCTAATTCTGTGTAGTGGAGCTTCTATTTACAAATGAGAAGTCCCTGCCTTTTATTCACAGCTTCCCTTAATGTATTTATCAGAGCGGACTCATTTACGCGGCGCTCTATCTGTTGGGTACAGGCGGCGGCTCTCTGCTTTATCGGCCCGCAGGCCCGTGCACCTCCCCGGGGTCAATTGATTTTTTTGCTTTTGTGATTCATTTTTCCCCTACACCTCATTCTGGTGCCGGCTCACAATGAGCAACACGCCTGGAGAATGAGCTTGATTTGTCTGCCGGATCTGACCAGGTACTTAAATTGGCCACAGGAATGCCGTTATCTGCCTTTCACGCGCCCGGCTGCTGGATGGTGTTTCAATTACAGCGGTGACCGAGCTTTCATGCCGTCACACACCTACAGCAGCAGAAAATTGAGCTGCTTTGACTGTTTCATGCTGATTAATCCTGAAATAACCCCAAAACCCCAAAAGAACCACCGAGAGACAATGAGCGATAGATAGAGACCTATCTATCTATCTATCTATCTATCTATCCATCCATCCGTCTGTCCGAGGTTAGGCTGTATTTGTGGTAGCGTTCGCTCAGCTCTCAGATCCTCCTGATGTTCCTGCTGATGGGCCAGATCGCCCCGGAGTCCTCCTGTGATGGTCATTGTGTGGATTCTGCTTTGATATGGAGCACAGGGGGGAGAGACGGGCAGGACGAGGTTTGCATGGACGTCCTGAATCAGGTCTTTGTTCGGAGGCACAATCAGAGCTGGAGGAGGCACAAGGGTGCTCTGTGTAACGTGTCAATAGACGGTGCGTCTCCTGCTCTGACCAGCCCGTCTACCTGTCCATCTCTCTCTGTGCCGTGGATCTGATCTCTGCTCTGCGAGTGTGTGACGGTCACTGGTGTTGGTGGTGGTCTGAGACTGCACAGCAATCCTGTTTGACCTCAGAGAGAGAGAGAGACGCTTTACACACCACACTATAAGTGAAAGAGAGGTGGGTTTGTCTCATTATCGGTTGCTCTTGTTGTAGCCATTTCTGACTGTTTCTTCAACTTCAGAAACTTTTATGTCCCAGGGGTTAACTTTTATTAAAACTGTCTTGGAATCGTTTCACCATGGCTTCATAATTTTTTTTTTAATCACAGACCAAGAGTTTAAAATACTATATAAAAATATTATTTATTACACATAAAACTGTGATCCAAACTAATAGTGAAATAATCACAAACCATTTCAATATGTGAAATTGGTAAATAGCATTTTTCACTCATCATTTCCACCGCATTTTTCCAAAAGTCAGTGCAATTCTTTACTGAATATTTTTATTGTGCATCTTTTACAAACAAGCTATAATTTCTTCAAACGAAAAAAATAAGTGTGAAAATAATATTTAATTGTATTTTGGACACATACAATGCGAGATATGACAAGACAAAGGAATTAGTTTCAAATGTCATTTCCACCACAGAATAAATTATGATTTGAAAAGTGATGGAAGAACAATGAAGTTTATTGTGTTAATGTCCACATGATGGGTTTTGTTGGGTTTTTTCGGCGTCTCTGTCTCTGTATTGTCACTCATGGAAACTCATTTGACTAATGAGCTGACAAATGGAGTGGAATAGGTGACTTATGAACGACCTTTGACATCTGCAGGATTTGTGGATCTGATCTTACCTGATGCCCACAGAAACACACACACACACACACACACACACACACACACTCGCTGTATTTGTGTCTTTATTGGTCATCTGTTGTTGTTTCACCAGTTGTGTCTCAACATCTAAAGCTCAGACTGAACCATCTCTGCTGGTGTCCAATCTGTGGCTCTGTTTTAGTCTTTATATGAATAATCATCATGAGGGATTCATCCGAGTCTGCTTATACTGAGACGACTGGAGAAAGGGTTTCAAAACTCTCTCTCTCCCTCCCCGAACTCAAATGAGTCACGAACAAACAGATCAGCTTTATGTTTTTTATGACCCTTTCACTTGGCACGACCGGCTGTTATGAAAATCAAAATAATGACTTAATATTTTCCAAATGTGATGTAAAAAGTATAAGCTGGCCTGTGAAGATGTTTGATTTTCCTCCTCAGAGCATGGGAAAGTTTGGGGGCGTTGAGTTTAAACACACAGATCTGCCCTCGCACACTCACCGTCTGTCTCTGTGTTACACACGGCTGAAAATACTGGTTATCCATTTAACTTTGACCTAGATGAGAGCGTCCAGTCTTTTTCTGGAGTCTCGCGGGCCGCTCTTTCTAAATATACCGCTCAAGAGGACGAGTGGAGATGAGCGCGGCAGGCAGAGAACATCGTCAGCATCGCTTGCATTTAGGGACCGCTAATTGGCAGTTAATTAGCAGAATTGACTCTGTTGTTGGTTCCCATGTGCCACCCTCACCCCCCGCTCCAGCTTCATTTGATCTGATATCTCTTGTAGCGCCAGAGCACCCATCCGCTTTTGGCACACTAGTCTGCATCTGGCCGATGGATGCTGCACATTTAGGCCAAATCAGAGAGATCCTCGTCACAGGAACCCTGTTCAGCTGAGAGAGGAAAACTCCTGCAGGACGGAGACAGAGAACCAGAAAACACTGCGCTTCAAACAGCAGGACCAACCATGATATTCACCATTGCAGTGTAGCTGTGAATGTGCTGGAAATGATTCTCTTCCTCAGTGTTTTTGTCTTGTTTCCAGTACAGTTATCTAAACATTCCTGAATCACGATACATTTACTTGAGAAGCACAAAGACTTTAGAAGCGTTTGTAAGGTCTCATTTGTTAACATTAGCTAATGCATTAGTTAACAGTGAACAATTAATGTATTTTGCAGCATTATTAACCTAATGCTGTTAGTTTATGAAAATACAATTGTTCATCATTTCTTCATGTTAGTTCACAGTCCATTAACTAATGTTAAGAGATACAACTTTTCATTAAAGGGGTCATATGATATTGCTAAAAAGAACATTATTTTGTGTATTTGGTGTAATGAAATGTGTTCATGCGGTTTAGGGTTAAAAAAACACATTATTTTCCACATACTGTACATTATTGTTTCTCCTCTATGCCCCGCCTTTCTGAAACGCGTCGATTTTTTACAAAGCTCATCGGTCTGAAAAGCGAGGTGTGCTCTGATTGGCCAGCTATCCAGTGCGTTGTGATTGGCCGAATACCTCAAGCGTGAGACGGAAATGATACGCCCCTTGCCATATTGTGATACCTTGTCCGAAAGCGGAGCGACGAAACAAAAACATTAAAACCCATTA